CACGGACAGAGCTGTGATCATTCAAGCCTGGCCTGTTAAATAACCTTTGCCTCACCCGAGGGTAGATTTAGTAAATAGGTTGATGCACATATGTAACTATTACAGGAGGCTAAAAATCTAACATCTACCAGTGCCTTTGTTTGAATTAAAAAATAAAATAAAATGCTGAAATGTACAGCAGTATCTCTACTGAAAATGAATCTCTCCTCAGTTAGATGCAGCGATGAAGGCCCTGTGGTCACCCTCCCAAAAAGCTGAGGTGATATTTGCAATAAACCTTTACTACCATAGATACACGCGCAGCATGATGAATTTCAGTTTCTCTTTCAATGAAAAGAGGCCATTAAATATTAAATGAGAGTCAAATGACACATGGAAAATCCACTTAACTCTTATTCTTAAGATGCAAAACAAACAGAGCCACACCACCTGTGCTTCTTCAACCATGTGAAAATGTCTGCTTTTATGTATAAAAGAATAGAACCACTTTTGAAACAAATACTATAAATGAGTGAAACTCTTTAACAGATTAGTGATTCTCCGGGGTTTTGTCCCCATCCGACAGCAAAGCACAGGAGCGTCTATGTTTTCATTCGTTTTAAGGCTTTTGGATCTTACAGTCCATGTTGAAGCTTTGATTAAAAAAAAAAAAAAAAAGGCCCAGATTAAATGAGAACGAATGTTAATAACAAAAGATAAATCCCATTTAGAGCAGTTTCAATTCCACAGTAGCTGACTTTTATTAGTTATCCGTTGAGACTTTGGTAATGGAAACTTCTGACGTGGTTGTATTTTCCTCAAACACCCTCCGATCAGGAGCCTACTTGATGTTGGAGCACTTCAATAGACACATTTCTCTTGGATACGTGTCATGTTGCTAGTCCACCTGCCACGGCAGCTGGTGCATCCATATTTCAATCAGCTGCTTTCATTTATGTTTCTCATCAGTCAGAATGATTTTCCATGTGATGATATGACCCCCCAACTAGAAAAGTAATCCAGAAGGCACTTACTAGCAATTAAATGGAATTGAAGATTCTAGCAGAAACTCAGGTGGTAATGACGGTAGTCTCAGAGAAACTGACTCTTACAGTTAGGGTGACGGTCTAATATCAGTCCCCATTCCCTGCTTAAAGAAGAGTCACACACACTGCACACCAACTACACACACACGACCCGTTACCTGAAGCTTTCTCAACGCAGAGCGGAGGCTGAAGTAATGACTTTAGCAGGAGGTCAGTACGTTCTGCAGCCATGATGCATTAATATTTCATGGGGAGATCCTGGGTGGTGCATGCATACGATCAGGACTCTCCTCCAGTATGAATCTCTCAAAACAACTACCCTCCAATGTCGCTGTGTATAGACACACATCCCGACCTCACCTGTGCAGATGAGCAAACACCGGCCTCACTAGAATTTGGTGGTTCAAACCAAATACAGACGGGTACAATGCAGTCCCAAAAGAGTACGTGCACTGAAAGCACTCCATGGGCGACTTGTCTCCACTCCCAGACGTCAGTACTGAAGTTAGAGGGCTTCGACAGGTACAGAGAACAAGAAGTCCGAGGTAGAGTTTGAAACATAGAACTTTGCAGCACACTCGGAGCACATGTTCCATTTTAGACTGGAGCGATCTACCACAACGCTGTTACTTGTTACACCCGTTAACACTAGTGTTATGTTATGGCCCGATTGTTTGCTTCCCGCTAGGCTGGCAAGCTTCCTCCCGTCTGCCTTTTGTCTTATATCGGTTTTCATTTTACTGATGTTACAACCTTTACATCTGCCTACTTTGTTCGACTAAAGGCCAAAAGTTAGTGTTGTAGAAACGAAGAATCAAGTCATCTGGTGTTCAGGCCAATATGGAAGTCTTTATGTTTTAGTTGATCACTCTCTGTCTGCTCATGATTCAAGTGGACCTGCCTGCCTGGATGCGTTATTGTCCTTTAAAAAGGGAGCATGAGTATTCTCGGTTGCGGGTTGTAAACACTACATTCAAAGTTGGCACCTCCTCCCCGGCTCAACGAGGGTTGAGATGCTCGCCAGCGTTTGAAAGCCAACCCAAGATTCACTCTTCACTATTGGAAAAAGCTTTGTCCACTCGCTGGGTCTGCGTTTTTTAAAAGTTCATCTTGGACGCACGTTTACGATCTGGCACCTCGTAGATACGTTTTGATAGAGATGGACAGTCGCAAACCGCAAAATGAATAGAAAAGAGACAATACAGGCGGAGAGCTAGGTGTCTGCAGACACAGACACACACACGTCTAGTGGGTCATAGGTGATGATTGACCGGGATTATTTTTGTATGAGTCTATACATTGTTTTTTAGAAAAATCCTACTCATCATGCCTTTAAGGAACGCAATACAAGTAAGTTTATCTTCATGTTTTTATAATGGATCATTTCTAATAAAAGGGGAAAAGGACATTCTGCTTCTGCGAGTGTATTTTTTCCACATCAAGAGTCAAATGACTCTTTATTACTGAGGCCTCAAGCTTCATCATTAAGGGCAGCTCTTTAGAAAAGCTCTACTACGAGCATTTACCAGCTATGAATCTTTACACCTCGGACGAAACATTCACACACTCCCACAAGCCACTTCTCATATACAGAGTTATACGTCAGTGCCACATTTGCAGCAAGGACCCATACGTCTGAACTACTTCTCTCAATTAAAACAAAGGGAGAGGGCCACAGAGTCGGTGCTACAACTGTAAACGATCAGTGCAGCCACATCCTAAAGGACTTTGAAAAGACTCTGCATCACACATATGTAACCACTGAATGTGCAGTCACAGCATCGCAGAATTCAGACAAACTACAGGGTCACATTCAGAGGTGTCCCTGATCATTTTGTCAAACTCAAGCAGAACTGTTCCGAGACTCAGACAAGATAATGTGCCCTGTTCTGTGGAGGTAGCTTTAAAAGCCTTGTAAAGTGGTCTTAACCAACTTCACTACATGAGAGGCCTATTATATATTACTATCTATAACTGTGAGTATATAACAATCAACACTCATAAATGGCAAAAGTTGAAATGCTTTGGATTTCATTATGCTCAAAAGAGCTTAAACTCTAGCATTAATACCAACACCACAGGACAGAAAACATTTGACTGTTGTGAAACTTCAACAAATTGAGAAACAACGCTATCAGACATGTATATGAGGTCATGTGTGTATAAAATATTCTGAGAGATTATTAACTAGTCTGTCATCTGACCAGACTGAATAAACTGAAGAAGAAATAGGAATTTGACATTTCAAAATGGCTGAAAAGCATGACGTAATGAACTCTATATACAAAGGTTGAGACGATATTTGGCTCCATAAGCAGGTTATGCTGCATGCACCCTAATCTGATGCTTTTCCTGCATGTAGGCCAAGTATGGTCACACGTAATAAAAATGGGTTACACAGCTCGTTACCCTGTAACAACAAGGGCCGTTATCGGTAACACATTTGAATGACAGAATGCAGTGGTCAGCTGCCCTTTAAGACTGCATTTGATTAAAAGCTGAGCTTCGTCTGCATGACTGCAAGGTGGTAAGGTAGGGGAAAAAAGGATTTGGTTGTGCAGAGTGAAGCTACCTGAACTCAAGAGGGTTTTGTCTCAAAGTTAAATGACATGATCAAACGGAGCTTTTACTTTATGATCAAAACTAAGCGCGTTCAGTGATGCCACCAGAGCAACAAATAGCTAAGAGGTCCGAGTCACTGTCAGCAACACTCGGCATGTACAGCCAACTGAAGCTGAAAAGATAGAACTGTGTCACTGGGACCGATTCCGCCATCATCTCACCATCTTCTTAAACATCAGCGCAGCCACAACTTTCTCATTATCACACACGCCACGTAAAACCCATCGTCTGCAACAGCTTTTCTCCCTCCGCCTAGCTCATCTAATTATTAATCATCAGAGCTGCCAGCCAGATATCATTGTTGACCATTGTCAGTCACTTTCAGCAGCGCAATCTGACATTACCGTGTCCAAACATTCCCCCCCGCCCCCCTTTTTTCCTTCAGCTTGCTGCCTCCTCTCACATCTGCACCAGCTGATATTTCAATAGCTTGTGCTGGGTGTGGCTTGTAGCTACACTCTGCTTATAGCAGTTAAACAGGGGGATGGGAGGCAGATTACGGTATCTATACATCAGCGCTACTTTCCTGAATATACTCGGCAGCACTGTCTCACATGTAAATACAGCCTTTGTTTGCTCCTCCCATGCCTATGCTGATGAATGAGCCCGGTTTATTGTTATGGCGTGCTGTAAATTCTGTTGAACTTTGAGCTTCCATCTTGGCAAACACAGGCAGAAAAATGCACGCTAGTAAAACCACGTACCAGCAAAAACAGCCCGTACACAAGCAGGTTGAATCAGTACAAAATAGGCAACAACAGCACAGGCAGCAGATGTGAGTGATCAATCCAAACATAGTGAAATGTATGCATCGTTCAATATGAGCATCCTCCTAACAATGTGATTTAATTACTAAGTAACATTGCTTAGATTCTCAGCTCAACCCCAACAGGCTCCAGCTTGTACTCTGAAAGAGATTGATTTTACATTAATAGTGTAGTTCAAATGTTATTTATGGTGCCATCAATAGATGATGTGGAGAGAGATGGCTTAGCGATTCAGCAGCTTGTCAGATATAAGAGGACAGCAGCAAATTTGGCCTCTTAAGATACACATTTAAAAAGACCAACGTCATACCGTCTTATGTCACCAAAGATCTCAAATGTCCCCTCAGGTCTTTAGAATCAGGTTTTGTTTTGTTAGTATTTTCCCCCTAAATCAGAGCAAGCGTTGCGTTTACCTACTGCTGTGGAATTTGTCACTTGTTCATTCAGGCTCATCCATTGCTGCAGTAGTTTAGGCTGTGTAAAGTGAAATTCTACAAATGCTTTGGGTAGGACCTGACAAAATCTCTACTGACAGGACTATTAAGTGATGGTGCATTTCAGTGTATTGAAGGCTGTGTCTACATACCCGATCTTTGCCTTCCTATTGGGTTTGGAGGAGGGTACAATACAGGCCTTCCTACAGGCCTTCTCTTTCAGCCGTGCCTTGCCATTTCCTTTGTGCTCGCGGTTACGGTGCTTGTGCTGCGAGGAAGAGCTGGGGAAACTCTCCGGACTCATCACTCTGGGGATGTTCTTTTCCCCGCGCTGCCGGGCCTTAGCAATAGCCTCCGATATTATCCTATTGGCCTTTTCCTGCTTGTCCAGTGTAGCTGCCTCCATCTGATGATGTGTCCTCCGTGGCGTCCTCTTCTCCGATGAGGAGCTGGATGAGGATGAAGACGATGAGGAAGAGGAGGACGACGATGAGCTGCTCTTCACTGGGGGACTGAGGACCCGTACCTGGCTACCGGGACCATTAGCGTTCTTTCGAGGCTGAGGAAAGAGGGAGAGAAATAAAAACATTTTTTTAGAATTATGATCATCTTTGAGGCAAATATTACAGGCATGATGTCATCTATTGTGGATGACACAAATCCAAACTCGGATGCCGAGCTATATGTGCTATAGAAGGAACGAGTTGCACTGCTTTGAAGCAGGGCTGAGTGACTGGAGCTGATGTAGCACAAAGACGAGGTTTAGCAAAGTCTCTCACAAAAAGGACAAACTCAGATTTTGCAGTCAATCAGCTGCTACATGTGCAGGTACAAGTCTTCAACCACCTAATTGTTGTGCATTTCTCCACATAAAGAGGTACCAAGTAAGTTAACTCAACATTGGTTATATAGCCCAGTATCACAAATAACATATTTGTCTCATAAAGTAAACATGTCTTAATATTTTGTAACATACAAAAAGTAATGAATAAAAGCCGTAAACAATGAGGTTGCTTTTTATGGCTGATGTGCATGAATGTATGAGGCCGTTATAGAGTCACACAGCTCAGCTAATAGGTGAGTAACACAAACAAACCTTTACAGAAAGTGGTGCAACTATCGCTCATTGAGAAAAACAACTGTTTCGACTGTGTGCACCTCTCAGACAGCAGAGCTTGTCGATGGCCCCATCTCGCTCTACATGATGTTCACTTCCAACTCCCAGCCTCCTATGTAATTCTACCAGCACACCTTCAGCACGAGATGGGCCAGTGCTTCCCCCAAAGAATTCAGTCAGATCAGGTTGGAGGAGAAAACGTGTGAGATGAAAACTCTCTCCGAGCCCGACACAAATGAAATTGTGTTCGGTGGAGTATGCTATTGAAAAAGGTAGCGTAAACACTGGCTCAGTGTGGCAGGTTACAGTGATCCTTACAGACATAAATTATCCAGCCTGGCTTATACATTATAATATGTGAATAATAGATGGTGTGACTGCGATTATGCCTACACAAGCGCCTTGTGGTGGGCCTTGAGCCCAGCGGAAAGGAAACCCATAAATGGATGACCTAATCTAAAAATGTGCGTATGTCTACATGGCCCAGGCGCGGCTGCTTTTTTTCTTTTCTTTTCTCACTGCTAGCTAAATAAAGAGAATTAGCTTGAACCTCGCCAACAAA